TGTCTCTGGATCCACTTTGTTCATCAGTTTATTTTGTTAATTAGATTCCACATATGAGTGAGATCATGTGATACTTCTCTTTCTCTGACTGACTTATTTGCTAATTGAAGAGAAGGTCCCTCCGTGCTGTCTCAAAGGGTAAAAGATTCTCCTTTTTCCTGCTGCATAGTATTTCATGGTATAAATGTACCATAGCTTTTTTATCTACTCATCTACTGATGGGTACTTGGGCTGTTTCCAGATCTTAGGGATTGTAAATTGTGCTGCTATGATGAGCATAGGGGTTATACATTCTTTCTGATTGGTGTTTCGGGTTTCTTAGGATATATTCCTAGAAGAGGAATCACTGGGTCAAATGGCAGTTCCATATTTAATTTTTTGAGGAAACTCCATACTGTTTTCCATAATGGTTGCACCAGTCTGCATTCCCACCAGCAGTGTAGTACTAGGGTTCTCTTTTCTCCACATCCTCACTAGCACTTGTCATTTGTTAATTTGTTGATGGTAGCCATTCTGACAGCTGTGAAGTGATACCTCATTGTCGTTTTAATTTGCATCTCTCTGATGATCAGTGACTTTGAGCATTTTTTTATATGTCTCTTAGCCATCTGTATGTCCACTTTGGAGAAGTGTCTATTTAGGTCAAGCATGTCAAACTCAGAGCCGGCGGGCCACATGCCTTGTTTAAATAAATGTGGGCTGCAAGTTTGACATGCTTGATTTAGATCCTTTGCCCATTTTTTAATTGGATTGTTTGTCTTCCTTCTGTTAAGCTGTATGAGTTCCTTATATATTTTGGATATTATTGGTGAGTTTTTCATTCTTGGTGTTTGGGATCTAAAGCTCACTTAAAAGATATAGGATGACTTGTTCAACCTCTCTAATGCTGTTACTCAGTTTAGGACTCTAGGGCAGTCACAGTTCCAGAGTTTGCATACGAGACAGGCATTAGTGTGCTCTTTGTACAATTATTATTTAAGGCATTTTGACTATGGCTTCAGTTTGTTTTGCTAATTGAAGAGAAGCTCACAGAAAACTACTGAGTGAAACTGGAAGTTACCCCAGACTTCACAGAAACCCTTGTTTTTTACCTGTATCTCATATTTGCCCACCCACCTCAAGTAAGAGCTATTAAGGAGAAAAGCATGTATACCTTTAAGCCCAAGTCCTCTTTCTCTAACAGCTCAGGTGTCATACGGTGGGAGCATGAGAGAAGCTGAAACAAGTGACATTTTCAAGCCAATGTACCAGAACTTACACTGTGAATGTTATTTTTTTAAATATGTTTTTATTGATTTTTAGATAGAGAGGAAGGGAGAGGGAGAGATAGAAACATTGGCTGCCACCTGCACAGCCCCTTACTGGGGATGGAGCCCACGATCTAGGCATGTGCCCTGATGGTGAATCAAACCCGGGACCTCTTGGTCCATGGGACAACGCTCAGTCCACTGAGCAACACCAGCTGGCCAGGGCAGTTTCTTAGGGTATGCAGTATCTCAAAAAGAGTCTGGGCTCTATTTTTATTCTTTAGTTTGTAAGCCATACAATCAAATCAGTCCCTTTATCTATATACCATCATGTATGGGTTTTTTTTTAATCAAAAAGTTGTCAAGCCAGCTAACTTTGAAAGCCTATGGCTTCCTAATAACTTCAATAACTTCCTAATAACTTTTCCTAGTTAAAAAAAAAACAACAAAAAACCAAACCCATCTGCAAGTCACAAATAATGTGACAACCTTGAAGCTCAAAATAGTGAAATTTAGGCCAAAAGTATTTTTGCATTTCAGCAGCATTGTTGGCATAAGATCGTTGAGGCAATATTTGATCTCATATTATTTGGCGTATTTGTTGAAGGAGCAATTGCATTTTTCTGTTACATCCTATACTCAGTTGGTTGGGCCTTATTTCATAGTTTGGATATAATTGGTCACCTGTTGTGTAATCCAGGCCACGTAATGACACCTTAGAGCAGGGGTTCTCAACCTGTGGGTCGCGACCCCTTTGGGGGTCGAACGACCCTTTCACAGGGATCGCCTAAGACCATCGGAAAACACATTTATAATTACATATTGTTTTTGTGATTAATCACTATGCTTTAATTATTTTCAATTTGTAACAATGAAATTGGGGGTCACCACAACATGAGGAACTGTATTAAAGGGTCTCGGCATTGGAAGGTTGAGAACCACTGCCTTAGAGACTATAGCTGCTAACAACCTATTCTAAACAATTAACAATTTAAGATAGAGAAGTGATGAGTGAGTTTAATTATTTTACTTTTTCCTTTCTGAACTCTACAGTTAGGCATAAGGAGGGTTGTTACTTAAGACTTAATTGTAAATTTTACAAATCGAGTTATATATTTTTGAAGACTTTTATGGTTTCACTTTTTTGTTTCCTACAGGACGGCAATGATTCAGATGAATTCATGTGAATGGAGAGATGGACCTTTTAAAGATGTGAATTTAGGGACAGTTGCAGACGTTTTGATGTCATCCATGTTCTGAGTTATGAAAAACAAACAACCTCAGTCTATACAAATATCAACTTGGGAATTTTTTTAAAAAGGTGTTCCTTTTTTTGCTGACAGAAAAGGATCAGATATGTACATATATATATCAGATATAGTTGGACTTGAAAATTAGGAAAGTGAAAATATTTGTGCCCTAACATGTCTTGGTAGCTCACGAAAGTTGGCTGCTCTTTTTCTTGGGATAGACTTTAGAACGAACCAACTCTGAAAAGTATTTCTGGTACTGTGGTTAATCCCTGAAAACAGATGTCTTGAAAAGCTTTTTATATTCTTAAAATAGCTTCACTTCTATTAAGGAGAGTGTATTGGTGAGCAATATATAGGAATGTTCCTCTCACTGTCAAATTCCTGATTAGAAAAAGATGACAGTGAGTTTTGAAGATGATAGTGATATTTTCATTCATGTTCCATTGTGTTGTCTGAGTCAAGTAGCAGAGTTGTCCTCAGCAATCAGCTTGCCCTAGCTTCCACTTTCTGCATCCTCATTGTCTGAGTGAGGGCCTCCTTCTAGGTACCATCAGACTTAAAGAAACATTTGGTGTTAATCCAGGTTGGCCTTGTGTGGCAGTTTTCACCTGAGCACCAAGTAACCCAGGCCTCAGAGGTTACAGCTTCTAGGCCCTGGAGTCATGTCTCAGCACTGAGGGGAGAAATCGAAGGGAGGCTCTAGGAATTGGTGTAGGTTACCTGATTTTTGTCTTGGAATACAGCATAAAGCAAAAGTCCATGTTGTAATTATGTTTTTTAAAAGAATTAATCATTTCACTAGCCAGCCAAGTAATTTGTTTATTTACCCTGAAATAATATTTATTTTGAGTTGTAACCCCAGAGTTCAGATTTCTCCATTGTAGACTCAGTAACTTACTATGTAACAGGACTGCTCATTCAAACCACCTGCTTTCCAGTGTGATTCTGAATAGAAGATATATTTTTATTGAAGTGTGTAAGAGAACCCCGGCAGAAAGAAACAAAAGAACAAAGCCTGCAGGCCAGGAGGCATACAGATTCACATTTTAACCACACCCAGAACTGTATGTGTAGCATTCTTATTCTTGTTCTAACCCAGCAGCAGTGACCTCCAACAAATCTATCTGTAATAGCACCTTGGGACTGTGGCTAAAACCAGAAGACTCCAGTGTTTCTATTTATCTCAAGTTGGGGTATGGGGATGAACTGGAAAACTCCCGGAGGCATAAGTTGGCCAATTTGAGACAGAGTATGGGAGACAATTCCAGAAATTAATTGTGTATGTGTTTGTCTAATGATATTCAGCTTGGAGTTCTGTGATTTAAATATGTAATAATAAAGAGTATTTTTTTAATTTGGAAAGACATTGTTAGAATTTGCTTGTAATCCCTATCCTTAAGATGGTTTTGGAGAGCCTCTGGCTATAAAAACAAAACAAAAAAGTTATCTATCGTAGGTTCAATCTGGCTGGTTCTACGAGGGTATCGTCTCTCACTGATAGATGCCTCTCTCCCCAGAGGCCCACTGGGTCCAAGTGGATGACCTTTCCCAGACACACTGTTGATTGGGTGTAGGTCAAGCATGTTAAATTTTTTAAATGTTCTATAACTCAGCTTTTAAATGTCAGGGGCCTCTCTTCTGAATTCTCCAAGTTGAATTTGAAGCTCAAGCCTTTTCAGCGGCTCTGTGCTGATTTCCTCCGGCCCTGCCTCTGCCTGTGTGCTGGGGAGTTTTCCCCTCAGGTCTCGGTCCCAGAGAAAGCAGGGTCTTTTCTTTTGAGAACATTGGTTCAGTGTCAACAGGTCAGACTCTTGGCACTGAAGTCATTTCATTTCTTGCCGTTGGCATGTTTCTGTAACTTCCTATCGGAAAATTCCAAATAGTGGTATTTTATGAGTTGTGCCCTTGATCAGATTTGTACATCCTGAGGATTTCTCTTTCCAACTGTCTCCAGTTTCTGTATTCTGTTAGATCTGCATGCAGGTGAGGTTCACTTTGTCATTTATTTCACAAACTGCTCCGTTATATTCCTGTAGCTTTAGAATTCGTTTCTTATAGGCCTTTGTGGATCTAGATCACAGTCTTTGGGCAAGAGAGCTTTGTCACAGTGCTTGGGCAGTTTACCAACATGGAAGGTTTGTGCATTAACAGGCGGCCATAGGCTGTAGTTGAACCCTTGCAATATCTTTTTGTTATATTGTTTTAACTTTTTGAAGCATGGGTTTGGTGAGCCTTTTTTTTTTTTTCTTTACTGTGTAGTGCCAATGGTTTTCCCCACTCATGAAGGAAGGGGGGCCACGCATACAGCAAGATGAGAAAGGGAGAGTTCAGCTGTGGCCTCCAGTTTAAAAACAGCTCTTCCTCCCACTGTCCCATCTGTCCGAGAGGGGACGCTCGTTTTCCAGGCTGGAACAGGTTGTGGGAAAAACTGAGCAGGATGGAGAAATGAACACTTGCCCAGCCTTCCTGAGCTGTGAGACTGAAGCCTTCTCTTTCTCTGTTTGATTTGAAGCACGTGTGCATTGTGTGTGTAACAAGTCCCATACTCAGAATGATCATAGAAGAATGAGCGCATGACCTTTTGATTTTAAAGTAGATTGTGAAACAATCAAACTGTCAGTGTAAAATTAAAAACTTAAAGTCCAAGCTAAATGTATGTGAAGGCCCAGAAATGAGGACAGCACCGCTGGCGCCCGACAGGCTCCCATTCCAGCGTCGCGAAGTGGGAGCGCTTCTCTGCCGGACACACGTGGGCCTCACCTGGAGCAAGAGACTTGATGTGCATTGTGTCATTTCACAAATGAGATGGTGCCACCTGCCTGGATGAATGATATGTAAAATGCAATAAAGCTTATAGTTTGAGTAGAACCAAGTGTGTGTGTATGTGTGTGGGTTTTCACCTTTCTCTTCCAAGACTCAGTCTCAGGGATGTGCAAGTAGGGAGAAGGAGGTTCTTGGCTGCCTGACATGATACCTTCAAACTGAGCTTTGCTTCTTGGAAGGAGAAGATGCAATTAGAGTAAAGCGAAGATTGCCCAAGGATTCCAGGAAGAGAACCATGGAACCTGGAGTGCAAGGGTCAGGATTTGAAGG